TTTCGGTGTCCTGATGATACTTGTCACTCCAATCCTCTTTGTTATTTTCGTGGTGTACGAATCTTCGTCCGTATTACTTCGCGAAGGATGCACCGACTGACGAGATTCGCGTGCTGAGATTATCGTCGTTGATAAGAAAACAGCAAACCGCTCGTTTCCGATAAGTTTGTTCGATAGCGTCAAACCAACATTTCGAATTTGTTTTCCCGTGGATCGCAAAATTCCGTCTTCTCGAGGATAGTTAGAATCTTTTGAAATTTCAGATGCGTAAGAACGCTACTATAGATAGTAAGGTATGCCTAGTTTATCGGTTTCGAATACATATCTCGCATTAGATTAGATTTGTTGTGAATGCCCAAAAAGATCTGTCGAGATCAGAAGGGCCAGAGTCGATCTTCGAGATTGCAGCAATGCCTTTTATCGGTACGGAGGATCCAATGGGAGATGGTTGTCGGTAGGTTGGTACGGTGATCTGACTGGATGACAGTATGGAGACATTATTGTAATTGACTACTCCTCCGGCAACCTCAAAGTTACCCGACCGTCCAATAAACGTAATGCCAGCTTCTGGAGTGGCCCGCAAGCCACGCAAAATGACAAAGGATCACGATATAGCATCTTGCGGAGATATCGGCAAAATGGTGGGTCGGGGTGTCAAATTCAATTCTAACTAACGTTAAGCGGTCGGAATCGAGGGCATGCCGGCGAATTAACCCGGCGGATAATGCCATTACCATGGAAGCCTGAAATTACTGAACATTACGTATCGACGCCAATTACACTTGCACGCGCACAGATGCCCTGCATGCGACCGGAAACGATTACTTCATTTACATGCCGCCTAAATACACGCGGATCTCGATGTGGCCAGCCCAGATCCCGGTCGATTACGAAGATCACGCGGGCTATCGATTCGTCCGAATATTACTCCGCAGGCGAACGCCTGTAGGGAGAAATCGACGAACACATTTGACGGTTGCGTTGCTTATTATCAGTCGTTAAACATCAGGCCGGATTAATGTCTCTCCCAGCGTTGCATTATCATAACACCACGAGTCGCAGCTGTTGCTGACATATCTACCGGCGCTCACAATGGCGGTGGTTCCCTGCGTCTGTAATTTATTGTCCTTCGAAATGTGTTTTCCTGTGTGATTCGCAAAGTTACTTTGATTCGCACGAGTTTCGTGGCGTTTTGGAATAATTGTAAAGTATGTACAATATCTTTCGTTTTTCATTTAAACATCTCAAGAACGATGAAGTTTCTGTGATGAGTCTAGACTTGTAACTAAATGTATGACTCGTTAAGGAAACATGTCCTCGTTTCTGGCCCTCTTCTCGTTAAGTATTGTAATTTCATGTATGCTCTATCTAAACGAAATGCACGTAAAAAAAAAAAAACAATTTCGACTGTATTGATGTGGTTCACAGTGAATTTTTATGAAATCAAGCCGACCAGCTATATGTATAGACAACGAAATTGAATTTATTAACAGCCGATATCAATTGCAGCGGTAACGGTAATTTTACGTATTCGTAATCGAAATTCGATACTCCTGGATATTGAAATAGTTTCATCCCATCTATTGTGTTTCCAGATAAATGTTCTACAATAGTGCTTCACGAATTAATCGAAAAGAATCAGATCCTATTCAGGGGAGAATCGATAAAAGTTACTAAAAAAATGACTGCTTTTGACTGCTATCTTCGTTCCAGAGTGACGGGGAACAAAGTTCTTAAATTTCCCAGATTTTAATTCTGAGGTCTGAGTTTTATGATTGAGCGGCGAGTGGAAATTTAGAGTCTGGCTAAGCTGCAAATACAGCCGGGACTCGTGATGTTAACTTTTACGACAGTTTTCCCCGTGAAACGTTCGCGCACTCCCGCGTCTCTGTTCCGTCAGCTTTATAGCGTAATAAAACGGAATATCACAGGTACAAGAAATACGTGATACCGCGGGTAACGGTTACGCGTATCGGATGCTTGCACGTGGGCACGAGCGGCTTCAAGGAGAAATTAGCAACAAAGTATGAGACTACTGTTCTACAAGGATCTATGATAATTTTTCGCCTGCTGCACCTGCCGCGCGCGACACGAATTACAATTGGCTGTGTGTCCTGAAACTAGTTTCGCGAGACCTTATCGTGAATTACGTGACTCCTGGTCGACATATACACTTCGAATCGAAAATTTATCGAGAACCGAATCGGTGGGAGATCTTTCGTCGATTTCGCGATGATCAAGCTCAGAAACAGAACTTTAAATACAATAATCTATCGACTACACTATTGAAAATGCTGTACCTGTATTTCTTTCACCGTAGGCACATAACGAATTTCACGGTACTACAAAAATGGCGAAATTAATGAAACATCTGCCAACCTCTCCATGACGTTCCTCTCATCGTAACTCAATCATGAATCTAACTGGGAATTCCAGGAGGTTGGATTCTGATTACATACACTCTGAATTCGTATCCTTTCAAACAATGTAGCCACGATTCAATTTGGCAAACCAATACATTCCCGTGTCAAAGGACTATCCCGTGTATAGAACGGATGAATTATGTTTCGCAGGTTTATCGAGTGAGCGAAATCGACGCTTTAAAGCTTTACGTTTCGCGTAGCTACACCTAAAAGGGGCTTTCACGAAATTTCGTGTCTTCATAATACGCTGCGCCGGTCGGGTCAATCGCCACGGGCGATATGCCGTACCACAGGCTTCCTGGGGAAAATTGAGCAATTACATGGCATTGCGTGAGACCGTGTTCCTTACAAACGGAAATTTCCTCGGTTTGGTGGTGTTCGTTCGGCCAGACTTACGAATACCTTGCTCAAACCGACTGTACGTGTGTACACATGAGCTTCGGTTGTGCGTTGCTGACGAGACATATCCCCGAACAATGACTCTCTATTGGGTAAAAGTTACTTAATCGTTGTACCAAGTATTTTTGCAAATAAATCATGCCACGGAGACAACGTTATCACCGCTTCGTTTCCGAGTCGTATACTTTGTGGACACTAAAAACTCGAGAGTCGAAGTTTCGAGAACCTTATCGTTAATATCTTTTCCGCGGAAAATTAAAATCGAAGCGAAGTAAAGTTTCATAATCTCTGGAGTTCCGTTCTCCCGGTACCGCGGCGAAAGTTCCGCATCGAAAAATCGCAGCATTAATAAGTAAGACTAATGACCTGTTCCGAGACCATCCTCCGATCCGGAAGAGAGACACTGCTATATACGAATTTGCCTGGAAGGTGGTACCGCGAGCGTAGACAGTCGCATATAGGCGTCTGCGTTTACAGGTGGACGTGGTCTAGGTGCGCCGTCATAAATCTGCCAAGCCGTGGCAAATTAAATCATTATCTGGAAGCTGCGAGCAAATTGCGCCGATGCATGCACCGAGGCTCCTCCCTCTACCATATCCGCTCTCTCCTTTTTCTTCTCCTCCTCCTCCCCCTCCTCCTTCTCTTACTTCATCCGCCACCTCTTCTCCTTCTTCCACCATTGTGCTTACGGTTCTTTTTCCTCGTACTCGGTCGCCACCGATCCGTGTTCTTCCTTCTTTCCTTTGCGCCGTTACCGCGATTTTACGCTCGCTCTCTCCCCCAACAGGGCGAACTTCCGTGGAAGTTTCAGCCGCGATACCACAGCCGGTGCGGCGCGGCGGCCGCATGTCGAGGATATACGTTAATATTCGTAAATTCCGCCTTTTGGTTTTGCAACCTGGAGAAACTATTCCGCCCGACGCCCCACTTAGAAATGTAATTTCGCCGAGCCGAATCCACGGGATTCGTGCCGCTTTAAGTGGAACTACAACTGCCACCAATTGGGGCTGTTTTATAGTCGGTGACTAGGGAGGAGAAAGAAATACGATGGCGAGAAGATTGGTACGGTGTTAATAGATATTACATTTTGGGGGAACATTTTTCTAAACTCCGGGAGATATAAACGATCAGGAATTATTAGCGATTAATCCTCCTGTTCTTCCTAATTCTATACGATCCGAAACGCAACATAACCTGTTAATATACCTATATAGTAAATATTGTATTTAATTTATACCTGTTACTATTCCTTTTATACCTCGGTATGTCAGAACAAAAAACAACAGGATTGGCATTTGACTAGACTGTGGATTAATATGATTCAGTGAAATAAGAATGCCCTTGTCAGACTACGAAAACAGTAGAAAGCCAACAGAGACGGAGATGGTTTATAGTGTATTATACACTGTGAATTATACACGCATAGATTTGCTTCGGGAGGGAACACTTGGGAATTATGTACAATTTCCAGTTATCTACTGCAACCTTATAAACACGATATATCGCGCACTATTCATTTTAAGGATCGCGTGCGTTTTCTTTGAAATTCGCCTCGTTGCTACGTACTAACGTTAGCATACGTTATCTGGCACGTAATGCCGTGAATGAACGAAGATAAAGTGCAGGAAAGATGCGACGGAAGATCGAGTGTTATTTCCTAGAGGAAGATAGACAGGAATATCTTCGGAATCTTTCAAAGTGAATAATATTTCTTGTTAAAAAGCCACGTTCACGTGTTAAAAATGTAAAGGTTACGTTCGTTGAGAATATTTCATTGATAGTGGGATCGAAATTGGAAACAGTCTTAATATATGAAACATTCGATCTGTTTGAATATTCATGAAAAATACTATATCAATAATGAATAATCGGTGTATACAAATGATGGATGTTAGAATAATTCTTCTACATCGGTTATAAGTTATTAAAGAATAAAGTGTAGAGCAATCCTTTCAGGTGAGAAGAAAACTTAAGTAGAGCATCCGTATAATACATCAGACGCAAGAGGAACGCATGCCACTCACGCTGGCCTATTCTACTTACAAAGCTGTATCTTTCTAAATCTTACGTTTACCAATGATTTCGAGTCTTTTTTTCTATCAAGTTTGCAGCATTATCTTATTGTATATGTTTATATGCAAACTAGTCAAGAGAGAGAAAAAGAGAGATACGACTTACCAAACCGTCGCAGGCAGACAATGCAACTTGGGAGTTCGGATGACCGTGAATGAAGCCTCGATAATGGCATTTGCTCGACTGATTTTTCGGCCGGGTGCGCATGTGCACGTCACGTTTTCTTCTTTCGACGACCATCCCAGGACCAATGAAGTTGTCCACGGCGATCATCTCGATGTGGTACTCGTTACTGGCGACCGACAATCGGTAGTGAACCACTGGTCCATCCTCGTGGTGGTGGTGGGTCACGTTGTGCGAGATAAGCTCCCCCCTATGGGTCACTTTCCGTGGTATCACGATTTCGTGCTCGTGAACTTGTTCCTCCAAAGTATATATACCTGAAGCGAAAGCGATTACAGTGAGTTCGATCCCTCCTGTCTCCAAGTATTATAATACTAGCATTTAAGTCGAATAAAGATTATTGAACAGGATACAGTGGATTCTTCCTAGAAAACTTTATCCCTTAACAAAATATTCGTATCGGGGAAACGTTACATTCCTCTGAAGCAAATATTCGAAGATTTTCAATGAAAATTCCAAACCCCATTAACTTTTCTTGCTCAAAATGAAATATATTAATAATATATGGAGATATTATTCATCGCCGAAAAGTGCTAAACCCGTTCGTTCAGTATAATCGAAATTGAATATGAAATCGGCCGTATGCAGGGCCGAGCTGTACATCTTGCGTTTCGTTTTCCCTTTAAATTCAGTCTAACGCGCGATAAATCTCTGGCGAACGTTCTGTAAAGGGACAGCGCATACATAAAACAGTGTTATATATTTATTGACTGTTTACCGGCGGCGGTTTCACTCGGGCAACACAAGATAACGTTTATTGTGGCGCGCGTAAGTGGGCAGACTCGTAAACGCCGCCCGGCCAAAGGAGGTGCATTCGACCCGGAGGAGGGTGTGATTGATTGCGGACACCCGACACTGGCCGAAACGATATTTCAAATAAATAATTACGCGAACCGTTTCGCTACCGCTTCATTAAAACAGCTATCCTGACGTTGACTGTAAAGCGACCGACTAAAATATTATTCGCCCGTATTGTGAATTATGCGATTTCTCCGTTCCCGCGGAAGATGAGATAAACGGTTGCTAATAATAATATTCCGCCGCGGGAATTCCAATGACTGGTGTTATTTTATATTTAAATTTCGTTCATTTTCACGTTCTGCTCTTTGCAACCTTTCGAGCTGCATACCGCAGTGTTAGAATTCTATAGTGGCACTAATGACATTAACATTTTACGTAAAATGTCAAACAATGATTACCGTTACCGGCAGCCATAGTCTCTCATTAATTTGCATGTTCCGCTTAGACAGCCGAGACACTATAATTTGTTTTTTTTTTCTTCCACCTCATAGACCTCATTATGAGGGGAACTCGGCGTTGAATAGAATGTGCAAGCCAGGCAACAGTATTCTCAGCGGTTCGTATTTTTTTTTAACGTACCCTTCCAACTTCTCTTCGACCAACCCAGCGTCACCGCACATTCAATGCTACACCAGTCTTTTTTTTTTCTATGACTCCTGGCATTTCTGCGTACCTTTTATTTATGTTGCATCTCATTACGGTCTTGTTCTTGTCATTACGGTTGGCGAATGAATATAAAATTCGGTCGAATCATTCTCCACAGATTGCTCCGGAAGCCCTTTTCAGAATACGTTTCGTCGTTGATTCCTAAGTACTCGAAAATTGTATAACTCATTGTAAAATTGTTGTATATTGGGAACGGCTCGTGCGAATGAATATCCGCGATATCGTAACATCGAAGTCAAAAATGATGCGGAACGATGGCGTAACGAGAGGGCCGGGCGACGGGACGACGGGGCGACCACAATATGTATGAAAAGTGGCCTGTCGATCGGTCGACAACGCGAGGGCGAACGAACGACAGTTATGCACCGTAAAACTGGTGTAATAATTTCCGATTGATTTAATGGCCCCTGCACACGCGTCCGAGTGAACTGCCGCGCCGCGGCCGTTTAGAAAGGAACCGCCGCGGATTCGATTAACGCGCCCGTTTCAGGGTTGCCATCGGTTTTCACCCGGTCGATCCTGAAAGCGGTCCATTTTTTCTTTCGTCTCCCACCCGCCAGCCCACCAGCCCGCCAGCCCGCCCCCACGCGATAAGAGAATGTGTCTTACGAGTAATTTGTCAACGCGGTGTCCGACCACCGATAAATCTCGATCGTAGATACTACGAGGTCGAAGAACGGAGGTGTCGGGAGAACTTTGAAAAGCGCGACACGACAGAGAATTATAAGGTGTTTTGTCGTTTGCGATGACGTAAACGGGCGTCGCTGCGTTGATAGATTACACGTTGTTTCAGAGACAGGGCTGTTTTGCGAATAAGTCTTTGTCGTCAGGTTACCCGAGCCGAAAGAGAATAGCGATCGTTTCTCAGTGGGATCTAATTCGCGAATAGAGACTTTTTCTGACGTCCGAATGCGTCACTGTCCAACGTAGCTGTTCTTTTGTCGCTGTTTGCAAAGGGTTCGCGATACTGCTTCCCTATTGCGATTATATAAAACTACAGCTATAAACATAATCTTCGGAACAATAGTCAAGTTTGAATATTTCAGGAAAGACACAGGGACTGATTGTGATTTCTACGAGACGATGAATTGTTTTCGCGACGGAAAAATCTGGAACGGCACCGTTCGTTTCATTGAAGACGATATCCGATCTCGGTATGCAGATTGGATCGCAACGACGTTAACTGTCAGGCTGTTCTTACATGAAGACATATTGCCGCAGCTGAACCGTGCCTGCATTCTCGACGTCCTTTCCTCTCTGTTCTCCTCGGGCAGAGGCTAACCGCAATTATTCTATTAGGCGTTAGATCACCGTCAACAATAGTAAACGATCGATCGATGAGCTTTGACGGGGGAATACGCTGGTTTTGCGGTGACTTCGATGGTTTCGTTGTTTACGATCGCTTTTACGGCCACGAATTCGGAAGACTCGAAACGACGGAAACCGATAACGAGTCTCATTTAATGGTTGTGTACTTTTTATTACTATAACCGCGCGAACCCGGATGATTTATAGGGTATTTTGACGTTCGGAATCCTAATGACTCCGACTAGAGAAAAAAAAGGCTACAAGTTAACGAGTAACCTTGGTGAATTAAGATCGTGGATAGCAGATTAACCGGCGATCGTGGCTGCGAAACCGCTCTAAGTGGACAGAGGACGCAACGTTTGCGCGTGATTTCATGAGGCCGCAACGATAACCAAGCATTGGTCGATTTACACTGTTTATCGGTTAATTTCATCTCTACATTAATTTCGAAGGCTAATCAGCGTGTCGGTGGCCTAAAGCCCGCACCCGGTGGCATCGATCTGACTCGTAACAGACGTAACCGGGAGGAGAATTATTCGCGCGACGCGGATTATTACGAACAGACTGGAAACGGGATCTAAAATATCCCCGAAATTCCGGCAGCTCCTCTGCGCGTATAAATTCCTGAAAATATATGCTAGTCGACGAATGATAAATGTAAACGGGCGTAATTAATGATGCACGGTAAAGACACGGAATTATATGCGGACCGTAAATAGGATTATCACGGGATAAATGCCGGATGCGGATCCAGCTTGCCACGCGAAAGAACAGTTTCTGTCGGGTGATTTTCATATGATATTACATCGTTCATGTGGAATTTGCTACATTAGTTGCGAATTTTTGAAAATATCCAATTTGAAATGAACCATTTCCGCCCGAAGAAGAAAGTACGCTTCATTTACCTTATTTCGTTTTCGCGAAGAATTTGGAAAATTATAGTACCTACTTACAGAATGGCTTAATACATATTATGTATGTACTACCCAAGTGAAGTTAATTAAGGCGATCGGAGTTATCTCTCCGAGTTTACGAAAGGGGTTGACTTAAGGTCTCAATAAGCAACTTATGGTGTATCTCTGTGTTCAATTATCTCGGACCGTGGAATAACGAGGGTTAAGCGTAAGGTATGGAAGGAGCGCGGGTGTCAGTCTCACCGATCTCGTGGTACGGTATACCGTTACGAAATAAAATTGACTATTTTTCGTAAAATTCGACCTTATTGGGATCGATCTGCTCAATATCAGCTGTAAACCTTGAAGGAGTCCACGGTTGATCAAGATATCGATCCTGGATGTAAAAAAAGGAATTTACGATGGCTCGATTTCCATCGAGATAGTTGGAACTGCGGGTGGCTGGGATCTCCGGGTTGGCCAGTGGTAGTCATATGAAAAAAAATCTCGATCGAACGATCGATCGATCGGTCGGTCGATCGATGGAGCGACAGCGACGGCGACGGTGGTGGCGACCACGGCTCCGAGTCGCTTTCCACGCTCGATACAGGTTTCTGCGATGCGGATAAATAGCTGAATCAAGGAGAAAGAGAGAGAAACACTGTCTAGTGCGTTCGGTGAACGGTATAATCATCATTATCCTATTATCATTATAGTCGGAAAAATGGCGGTCGGACCAATCAGCGTGCGCCTCGAGCGAGCCGGGGTTAACTGCAGGTGGGGACTCGGATGAATACTCGGACCTCCCATACAGCCTCTACCTACTGCAACGATCGTGTTCACGATCCAGGACATATGGGAGCCGATCCTTCCCACACCACATCACACTACACCGCGCGCTGTACGCTCCTTACGTACACTCGCCTCGCTTAATTACATGGAACAGATGATGCGTCGCATCGTCGTTTCGCGTAATTACAGGCTACTTATGTGTTCGGTTATTAATTAACCGATTCAACGCGATGACGAACCTGTCTGTTTTCAATTCGTATTTATCGGAGACAGAATAGTCATGGATAAACGCGTCGCGGCTCAATCGAATTTCCGTGGACGTTAACATTTTGGTTCTCCGCTCAATTTAAAGAACATGAAATTCCAAATCCTAGAAATATTATTAGGCGTTGCTACATGTATGTAGCTAATACATTTGTATTTTTCTAATAGGTACCGGAAGTTTCAATATGACGTAGAGAATATTTGCGAATGCTCGGAGATCGATTCGAAATGTTCGCAGACCGTCGAAACCACTCAATCGTCCGTCGAATTACTCCAATTTCCCGAATTAGACTTCTCGGAATTGACGCAAACTGACGCGTATGGCGCGGCCGCGGCGTCCTAGTTGTGCCACGGGGCTCTAAAGAGTGGCACGGACCTTTTCTGGAGTGTCAAAAATAAATTCAGCTCACGTTTAGGGGCCGCGAGGATTCACGCAACCTTAGATTCCGGTTCGAGCGGGTCGTGACTCGGAGTTCCAGGAGTCAAAGTTATTAGGCGTCGGGGCGATACTTTATCGTTGATACCTGGTATTA